ATTTTTCGCGTTTGGTTTACTGTTTTGTTTTTTCAATTTTGTTTTCCCTATAGTTTTTTTATTATTTTCTTTTCTCTTTTGATTTCCGGTTTCCTTTTGGAAAAAAGTTCTTTGAAATCTATTAACATAGGATCTTCTTTCTAAGATCTCGACAGAAGAAATCCAACAGTGAGAATAGTTTGATCTTTGGACGGACGGTTCAAGACATTAAACTTTTTAAATCAACGGATCTACGAAAAATGAAAAACTCGCAGGTTACAATTAGTGGCGCTCATGTAGGGGGCACTTGTCTTCACATGAGAAGGTAGGGAGTAACCTTTGCAAACTGTAGCAAGGAGAGCCTGTCCAGTTCCGGGTTCTGCTATTTTTTTTTTTGCTCCTTAGATCATTTCTTATTACACGCGAGCAGTTTTGCTAATATATAGTGTACTTTGTTTTAATACCCATCTATTATTATTTCAAATTTGTTTATATTTTTTTAAATTGGAACATTTTTTCGAATTCATGAAGATCTTTGGATTTTGGAACATTTTTTAATTCATTTTTCAATTCAAAAAGTTACTAAAATTTGGAACATTTTATAAAATGAGGAAAGAAACAAAATAAATAAAGAAATGAAAAAGGAAACAAAAATAGAAATCACGCCAGCCAGATCAATGGCATAGGGACGAGGCCCAAGATGATGTATCTTCTATATCTAAATAGGAGCCTCCCACTAGCTGATTTTCTTGGCTTCTCGCGCAGCCACGTCACCCGAATTATCATTAGTCATTGGTTCAACTATGAACGCAATCAGATGTCTACACTAACGCTCGCTGCGTTCCCGTATCGGCTTCCCGCGCTTGGATTGTACAAAGCCACTTCACATGGGCTGCCTGAGTCGAGTAGCGCTGGTGCGCTACCTTACACATGGACACATGGCCTGGTTCAATATTTTTTCATGGCTTCTCGCGCAGCCACTTCACCCGAATTATTATTAGCCATTGGATCAAGTATGAACGCAATCAGATGTCTACACTAACGCTCGCTGCGTTCCCATATCGGCTTCCAGCGCTTGGGTTGTACAAAGCCACTTCACATGGGCTGCCTGAATCGAGTAGCGCTGGTGCGCTACCTTACACATGGACACATGGCCCGGTTCAATATTTGGTATGTGGGCTGTATAGCCCGTATAGCCCATGGGCGTCAGCTGCGGCACTATTTTGCTGACAGTCATCTTCTCCGTTGTGACTCTCATCGCCGTCGCTATCTCTTCCGCTGCCTCGACCGAAGCTCTTCCTGGCGCAATTGCACATGAAACTGCAGCATTAGGGCATGTACAATGGTCGATAAGGTAGTCTTATCTTAAATCTTGCATGTAATTTAGAGATGACAGAAAAACATGTCTACAATGGGTCATTTTTTAGCCTTATCATCAATAACTAGTTATTCCTAAAATTGTGGTGAGACATATTATGCTAAAAGATCATCTCTTGCCTTCTCTTAATTAAGAGAAGACAAGCCTTCTCTTATGATTTCTCTTTCATCCACCTCATCATTTATCCTACGTGGCATTGCTAAGATAGAACCATTGTATATGCCCTTAATCGCCCTCATTACCTTGCCCTCCGTTACCGGAAGAAAAGGCTACATTAAATTGTGCGCCACCGCCTCCGCACCCCGCATCTACAAACCTGTGTGTGCTAGATCCTACCACACAACCGCGCGTTTTCCTCTTTCCGGTGCAACTCTGCGCGCGGTTCGGGACGTGATTCCGTTGCCAAACACCCACATTGTCGAGGAGGACACACCGTAGTGCAAGCCGTTGTTCTGCTCTGAACCATCTCCCGCACGCCAGCTGGTCTGCCAAGCCTTACATCGGATGCCTCTCTGATTGGGGAAAGACAGGGACAGGCCGCCGCCATTGCTGAACACACAGAATCCCAGATCGTCGAACAGCGCTGGGGCATCCGCACGTTGTCGCTATGCTCGCACGACCGCCATCGGCGGCAATTAGAGGTGGGGAATCCGACTCAATCAAACAAGACTTCACCAGACTCCACCATTGGGACTAGCAGATCAGCTTATCAGGTCAGCACCTCCGCGCTTACATTCGAGTAACATCGTTGAACTGTTTCTGTGTGGTTGGTCGTTCTGATTCTACCTTTCCGGTCACTTCCCAGTCCCTACTTTGCAGGCTGCAACATGTGTTCATCCGCTTCACATGCGTCAGACACTGTCGTGTCTAGGCTATCAGCTCCGTGTGCTCCCTCGTGCCCACATGGATTTCATGGAGATGCTGTTTCACTTGGACAGAAGGTAGCACATGTCAGTTTAGACTATACATCTGATTTTGATTACTAATATGCGTCTCTGAATTGCTCATGCGTTTTCAGCAATGGAGATGCTCTTTCACTTGGACCTAGGGCAGCATATATAATTTAGATTATACAGTGTGCCTTTGAAAATATTTGGCTTACATAAGTGTTTCATTGCTACTATTTGCTAATATATGTCTCTGAATTTTGTAGCAGAGGGATTATTTTGCAACAGTCCATGCAGTCAACATGGCTACCCATTCATTATTTGTTTATGAGACCCCATAATTTTTTTTAGAAATGAATGAGACCCTATAACTGAATTAAGACTTTTTCTTACTGATTTGTTGGAGATTCTATGTGCAATTTTGGTGTTAAATGTACCTACTCGATTCTTTAGGAAACATCGTGCTTCGCAGCTGAAACATGGTTCAGTTAGTTTTACTTAGTTTTGTGATAATACTTACATATAATATATGGATGATTGTTGTTATTAAGTCAATTCCACGTGGTGTGAAAATATGCATTTGCAAACTTAATCACAATCATTCTTTGGTAAGTGCAGTTGCAAGTTAATTGTTGTGATTAGCTATGTTGATTCCAAGTTTCTAAATGAACTTTTTTTATACATAATAAAAAAAAACTTTCACATTGACAAGGATGATATTTCACCTAGAGTGCATAGGGGTCAGGACTGGAATACATGTAGATACATTAGTTTGAGCGTCAACTCATTTCAGATGGAGGAAGTAGGTCTTATACGACATATGGTTTATTTCGTGCTTTCAATTATTGTCATTAGTTGTATCAACTCCAAGTTTCTAACCAAATTTTATTTTCTTTATAGATAATAGAAAACTTTCAATTGACAAGAATGAGTTATGAAGTTACAAGGATCAGGAGAAATTGTATCAACGAGACACATTTCATGAGTATTTGAACCACTTTGTTTAACTGGATTCTTAGTGTTGTTTCCTATGTATATGAGGCTTATGTGTGGGATTCATTTTGCATCTGCAGTAATTCAGGAGGCACGTAGAAAATACTTTTATTTATATTAGCATGTTGCTCAATATTTTACAATGTTTTGTCTCTAATTCTATGAATATGAATCTACACATTTCAGGCCCGTGGTAACGCGCGGCGTATCACCTAGTTTAGGAAGAGAACGACACCCACAGGGGCTCCCAACGCTAAACTTTCCCTCAAAAACTCACCAGAGCCACCAGGAGGCGCCCCGGTCATCACCACAACAATGGCAAACGCATCCTCATTAGATCTGGGCACTATCGAAGTAGGCCAGAGCATCACTTCCTTACATCCCTTACCTCCTACATGACCAAGAAGTGAAGCCGTCACTCATGGAGCCTGGCGGAAAGCCATATCCGTGTAGGTGTATCCCGCCATCCAGTGCCACTGTCATGAAATCCTCAGAAAAACTCATCATCGACATCGTAACACGTAGTCGCCGTCCTAAACAATCCACAAGACACTGCCTTAACATGAGCAATGAGTGACCAGCGCACATGCGAGGAGCAACTAGCCTCGGTAGGGGGGGCGCAAGTCCAACGCGTGCACCAGTAGCCAACACACGCATGCGGCCATCTACTAGCCAGCACTACCGGGAGGGGTGGGCATCGGACATCAAATCTGGCCAATCAAGATCCATATAGGGCACCCCCATCATATCCGGCACCTCCAACCACCAGGGGGTAGCCATTACCCTAGGCCACCAAGCACCCGCCTCCTTCGGCTCCCAGCGACCTGCTCCACGACCGCCGCAGAAACCTACAACACTCGTCCGCCACGCGCCCGCGGGGTAGATTGTCACCGCCAACACGGTGTCACCGGGCAGGCACCGCCACCACGCCGCAACTTCACCCGCCTAGAAGCCTCGTAGGAAGCCGCCAATCCCAGCCCTAGCCACCCTGCAGCCCGCACCATCCACATGGTGAGAGATATACCTCGCCGTCCTGGGCACACACCAATCACCGCTAGTCCGCCACTGCCATGCTGCCCACTACACTACCTAACGGCCATGGCGGAGCAAGACGCCCGTGACCCTCGTCGCCCTCGGCCCATACGGATATGGCACACCGGCACTAGATCCTTCTATGTCTGGTCGAGGACGGACCGCACACAACCACCCGAGAAAAATGATGTCGCAGCCGACGCACCACACCTGAGCTCCAAAGCACCGTCGTGGCGCCGCCAAACGAAGACGTCGCCACCCCGCACACCCGCCATCGCGTGGTTGGCCCCCGAGGCAGCCCTCCACTTCCACTTCTATGGTCGTGCCTCATGCCTGCCGTCACGCATTGCATTGTAGATGCACACATCATCACCATATTCAACAACAAGGCAAATAGAAACCAGATCATGCAATAATATCACAAAATCTTGTGTTGTTGCATCACCACCAGCAGTATGTGGCGCAGCTTACAGAATCAGAAAAGGTTCACCACAAGCTATTGACCATACATAAGTCTTATTTATAACAACCAACTAACCTTTTTGGTGCTTGAAATAGGACAAGTCACTCAAACAAACACGGTTCTCTGTCAGGGACTGGGTAAACCGAAGATGAAACACACAACCTATATACTTGCACACCGTAACTTATTCACCGTTGCAACGATGAATCGCACCACAAGGGACAGTCATATGTTTTGCTATTCACCACTCAATCAGAACAAGCACTAGCTATAGAACCCTAAGGTTGGTAAGGAAGGCCACACAAAATTCCAGGAAGAGGAGCTGAGGTCCAGTAACTCTTTGCATATCTAGCAAGTACTTGCCATCCCTGGTCTTGTAAAGCTGGAGATAAAAAAAATTAAAGTTATAACCAAATAGATAGTATATACACTACCACGCGGGCGAATTGTAATTTCTAAGACCAACACTGTGCAGCTTTAAAACATGGGAAGTTATTTCTACCAACATGCATGAGTCAGTCGACAATAGTTGTTGGCACTAGCAGACAGATGCAAGACATGATAATGATCACTTGGTAACAATTATGAATCAAATATATTGGCTCCAGCAAAATCGTTTTTTTATCTAGTGACGCCACTGTGAAGGCGATATTGAGTAGAAAATCCCTTTTTTTCTTATTGCAAAAAAATACTTTAGTAGTAGAAGATGTTGCAGACCTGAATTTCAAACTTGATCACAGCAGGTAGCCTCCTATTAACATCACCATTATCCATGATGGTAGAGTCATCAACAAAGCTGTGGTTGGCATCTAACAACATATCATTGACCTGAGGAAACCCAGGGCACCAACTGCATTTCATGTTGTAGTCCACATTCTTCTTCCAATAGACATTTAATTCCTTAAGTGCCTTTAGAACCTCAATCAATATCGCGCGAGGTTGAGCTCGAGACTGCTGGATAAGTGATGCATTAGCTCAACATCTGAATGTGCAAAACAAAGCAAAGTAAAGTTGACAGTTTGCAAGATCTGGAGTACAAGAGCCCATTTTCTTTCAACGCGGTAATATGGCCGCAAGCCACTACCTTGAGAATCATTACTTCCTGGAAGATAATTCCAGGTACTTGGGCTTGCTGATTCCGATAGAGTAAAATGATTAAAACTCATATCCTAGAGAATCATCCATTCATAAAGTTAATAGTGCTTAAACCTTTAGTGCATTAAATAGGTCACAGATGATGCAAATGTGGACTAACCATTTCTTGTTGATATTCAGCCCCCAAATAGCCACTAGTAGCCCGGAACCGATTGTCCAAGATTAAGTAATATGCAACAGTTTCCTGGAAACATATAGTATAAAGTCACTTATGAAAACTGAAAGGACTGAACCAGTGATTTTTGTTTGAATATACCTCATTTTTCAGCCTATTGCACAATGATTCACACACATGATCTTTATCATATCCCAGATTGGCAACATCTTGAAGTGTATCTTCGTCAATCTCCTGAAATGAACATCTAGCAAATTAGCATATCATTGCCATGGAAACGATATTTGAATGCTCGATAATAAACAATTTTTTTATAAATAAAGAGCAGCATTGCATGGAAACTTGACGTGATACCTTTCTGAAACCAAGGGCGCAACTATGGCCATTGATTTCTATTATATTTTCTTTGCAAATATTACATTGATATTATACCCATAAAAGAGAGCATTTCACGACAAAAGTATTGTTCTTAGTTTTCCTATCATCCATCCAAAATCCTGTATATATTAGTGGATAAAGGCTGAAAAGTTTTACTGTGCAGATATGATAGTCGCTTGAAATGTGAAATAGATGGGGTACCATTTTGGCTTGTTGTGCTGTCTTTGGTGGAGGCACTGCCAGGTAGCGAGGAAGGCGATTCTGAAACCATGGGTGATCTCGAATTTCACAGGTTGTGATTCTCTTCATGGGATCAACAATAAGCATTCTTGGGATCAAATCCATTGCAAGATCAGATAAATGATTTGGAAGGATATAGAAACCTCCCTGGAACACCAAATAAGGGGGAGTCAAATCTCCGGAAAAAATTAATTCTAAAGTCCAACTAATCTACATGAATTTGTTGATTTCCAGAAAAAAAAAGGTAAACACTTGTCAGATCCAACTTAATCTACAAATGTTCTGTCACACCTTTATCTTATTGAACAGTTTGGAAATATTGTCATCATCGAATGGAACAGCACCACAAAGAAGAGCATAAAGTATCACCCCACAGCTCCAAACATCAACCTCAGGTCCAGCGTACAATTCACCTGAGATAACCTATACAGAAACACTCATTAAAGCTATTAACCCAGATGATGCGTGAGAAGAAGCATCAGGATAAGGACTCAAATAATAAAATAAGTGAATACCTCTGGTGCGGCATAGTTTATACTCCCGCAGCTAGTCTTCAAAAAATGGCCATCATGCATCACATTGCTTAACCCAAAGTCAGCAAGTTTCACATTATATTTGGAATCAACTAGCAGGTTTTCTGGCTTTAGATCACGATGAACAACCATGTTTGTGTGGCAGTATTCAACAGCAGACATAATCTGTTTAACAAAAAATTAATTGAAAAAACTATTGAGACAAAACCTCAGTATGCATTCAGTGAATCAGAAGGAACCCTTCAAATTACATATTCGCGTTCAGAAGGGATATACATTCTCTTTATGTTTTAAAGGACAATTTAATTTAAGGAGTGAAATTAAGACAATCATGACATGAAGAATAAGACTCCATTTAGATAAAAATTGATTTAATTAGTGATACTAAGATAAACAAGGCATGAAAAGATGAAGATGCCAAATGATACAAAAACAAAAAAAAAGAATCGGCAAAAACCAACGAGCTTAAACATAATATATTCTGACATTTTCCGTAAACCGTGTTTTTCCGGCCAAAAAAATGTTATCGAGGAAAAAATTATCGGTAAAACTTAGTCAACGAATGCAAACCAAGCAAATTGATCGCGATTTGCACAGTAAACACATGAGGAAGGTCGACAACTAGCAAGCATGTCCATACATTTGATGGTCGAAATAGGAAGCTCAACATATTGTTATTCCCAAAAAATGTCTACATGGTAAGAGCAGAAAAGGCACCTGCTGGAAGATTCGACGGGCCACATCTTCCTGTAACCGCCTTTTCTCAACAATGTAGTCCAAAAGGTCACCATTCTGGCAATATTCCATCACAACAAATATATCCTTCGGTGTCTCAATGACCTCATAAATCCGGATGATATGAGGGTGAATGAAATCAATGAACGACCTCAATATCTTGATTTCTCTATTTGCTGGAAATACAATATGAGAAAACAATAGAAGTAAAGTGTTAGACATTGATCCTATGAAGAAAATGCGTATGCAAATTCTACTAACTCGCAGCAACAACACATGCTGAACTTTCTTCTTAACTAAAGTCGAATGTATCCTATACTAATGTACATTATCTCGACTAATTGATTAAGTGGGAATTCGGAACACACCCACAAGTCTGACTAGCACTCTGAAAGCAGATAACTCAAAGTCCTGAACAAGCATGTCAAATGTATCCTAGACTATTGTACAAGGAGAAGGAGGCATACCTTTCTCTTCCATTTCCATAGTTTTCATTTTACGACGGTTCAGAATCTTTACAGCAACTTTGAGTCCTGTAAGCTTATGATCTGCAATTATCACTTTTCCAAATGTGCTTGCACCTAACGTTTTGCCCAGATTGTAGCTCTTCAATGCTTCACAATGTCCACCTCCTCTGGTGTTCCCATCCATTTTCACTATGCAAAAACAAGAGAAACGGTATATGTGATTCAGCAAACAGATTTATAGTTCAGACTGAAACTGGTAAAACACGAGTTATGCTATATACAGATCATGAATAACATGAAATATTTACAGCATGTCACTTCTTAGAGACCGGCCTTGAGTGTGTGAAATGAGTGGGCTGGCCATAAATGACCACTATGGGACATGATTGGCGAGGGCAAGTGTGGTTCAAATAAAGGTCAACGAAATGGGTCAAGTTCCCTTCTCAAATAGGGAGAGCCACAACATATTCGATCGCTGAAGTATGGTTCAGTGAGATGATCAGCAACCAACAAGTACTATCTTGTACGAATCGAGTAGGATCATAATATATTACCATAAAACTGCCTGCACACGCAACACTGAATGACTATAGGCCTTTCTTGATATGTAATGTATCAGGTCTGCTTAGGATAGTTGGGATAACAACTATTGAAAATGCTCGCTCGTGCTTTGGGTGCCCGGCCCTGGCGCGAAGACACAGATGACACATAGAATCCTAGCTAGTGGGTTAACATGGAAAGTATTCTTAAATAGGTTCACAAATAAATACCATGAGTCGGCATATATGTGTGATAAACATGGAAGAGACATGCAAATGCAGTCATGCAACAATGAATGAGCTTTTTAGGATCTGTTACTAGTACTACTCAGATCGGCTGAGCGGGGGCAGCTCGAGGAAGCGCCCGAGGACGATGACCCGTGGGCGTGGCGGCACGGATCCACGCTGCGGATCGACGGGGGGGACCGGCGGCGGCTCGAGGAAGCGCCCATGGGCCCGCGGGCGTGGCGCCACAGATCCGCGTTGCGAATCGGCGGAGGGGACCAGTCGCGTTGAGAAAGCGCCCGCGGAGGATGACCCGCGGGCGTGGCGGCTCGGATCCGTGTTGCGGATCGATGGAGGGGACCGGCGGCGGCTCAAGGAAGCGGCCGCGGACGATGACCCGTGGGCGTGGCGGCACGGATCCGCGTTGCGGATTGACGGAGAGGACTGACGGCCACGACATCCGGCCATCGGAAGGAGGGAGGGCGGCGGATCGGGGCGGGGTTGCGCTAGCGGCAGGGCTGCGGGGAGAAGAGGAGGTAGGTGAGAGGAAGAGAGAGTGGCGAATTTTTACACGGCCGCCACGAGCCAGAGTAAATATAAGGAGAAGATTGGGGTTGGAGTAAAAATATTTACTCCAGTAATGGTAACAAGGGATCGGCTAGGTGCGGTTTAGAGAAGAAAAAAAGCCAAATATGCTTCCTTATGCTTACGATGGGATAGGGGACCGGTTAGAGTTGCCCTAACATGGAATGTATTCTTAAAAAGATTCACAGATTAATACCATGACTCAGCATATATGTGTGGTAAATATGGAAGAGACATGCAAGAAATGCAGTCATGCAACAATGAATGAGCTAACACATGAATCTGCCAGTACTACTCAATAATTGTTCACAGTAGAAGAACGCCCGTGCGTTGTAACGGGGCCACATTAACTTTAAGAGTTCAATATTATGACATTGGCAACCTTTTTTACCATCAAATCCTCACACACACTCTCTCTCCCCCTCCCTCTTCCTCACTCTCTCTCCCTCTAACACACGCACACATAGCCTATTCTCCCCGCCAATAAGACTTACTCAATTGGCAATAATGTGTGGACTTGTGGTGAGTTTGACTGAACTAATGGATAGTGTGATATATTCCCCAACCATTTAACAATGAAATTTCAGAAATGGGAAGATTATGTAACACCTCAAGTCATTAGCTACAGTGACCTCCCCCTAATGTTGCCATGTCATCAGGCTTGCTAAGCCAAACTGCCACTTGATAAAAATCAAAGCCCAATTCAAATTTAAAATAAAGTCAAATAAATTATTTCATCAAACAGTAAAACTAAAATTTCACCATATTATATAAATTCCACAGATCTTTGACATGTTGAGCCCAACATTATTTGACCCAAAAATTAAATCTTGGCAAATTAATAAGAGGTCAAACAGTAGTTAAAATAACCAATTATATAAACCTAATTTTATGTATTTACTTTCGGCCCCAAACTTTTTGTACCACCTAAAAATATTGTGCTCGAATTGTGTGCATAGTTTCACAATTAACAAAATCCATTTAGTTGATATAAGAATAAATAGAAAACGGTGTTAAAAAGGAGAAACAGATTAAAATACATTAAAAACCAAAGGACGATGAATAAGGGGTTTCCCCCTACCCCCTGGGCTTTGCCACCGAACCGGCCCAGTGGTCCAGTCCCCGCACGGTCGTCTTCTCCTGTTCCCCGAGCCCGTCGCTACAGAGCCGGGCTCCCGCCCGCCACCTCGCCGGCTTCAAAGGGGAATGGATAAGGGTGACACCCTGCTTCCCCTGCCCCCATGGCCTCACTCCTCCTCGACGCCCCCTCCCAGATCCACTTCTCCTCCTCGCTCGCTCGATCCCGGTGATCTGGACGAACTCAGATGCCACAGCCACCATGACCGACCCTATCCACACGATCACTGCCCTACGTGCTGGCTAGGAGCTTGTCGAGGAGCTCTGAATGCCTCCACTACTTCGTTTGCGCCAACGAGATCAAGTCCAGTACCCCCAGATCGACGTCGTTGCCGTCTTCCTCAACCTTCGGCCACCGCAACATTGCCGTTTGATCCGCGCCACCCGGAACTCCCCTGTCTTCCCCTAGGGTGCCATTGACACCGCCGTGATCTCATCTTGCCTTTCCCCAGTTTCCCCTCTCGTTTGCTCTTGTTAGGTATTTCACCGTGGCCGAAAACCGCCGTCCGCCATGGCCATTGCAGGGGTAGCCACTGAGCTCCTCGGATGGACCCCGTGGCACATGCCCGCTCCTATGCGTGCCCATGGGCGAGCCTTCAGCTCTTCTTCTGCGCCCACGGGGCCACTCCCTCTATGGATTTCCATGCCCACGCACGTGCCACACCGCGTCCGTCGCGCCCGCCGTTGCCATCATGCTCGCCACAGCCACCGCACCACTGTGCCCCGCGCGACGCACACCCTGGCCGCGCGTCACACTCTCGCTGGCTGCGCTCGCCCCGTCTGCTGTCGCCTATCCCTTCGCTCGCCCCGCTGTCGTGCCCCTGCCTCGCGCCGCCTCCTGTCGCGGCCATCTTCTGCCGGCCGCCCCCTCAGCCACGCCGGCCGCGTCTTTGCCCTCCACCGCCGGCCGCTCCCCTCGCGTGCTGCGTGCTTCTTCCTGCTGCTATGCGCTGCTCTACCACTGGTACGCTGTTGCGCCATGCCCTCGACACCGCCGTGGACAAACGTGGCGGAGGGATTGTCAATGGAGTACGAGGAGGAGGTGGCGGAGAAGGTGTGGAGAGGAAAGAGGTCTAGGGTGGCGTCAGCTGGCTGTGGTGGAGTTGATTATGCGAGAAGGAGACGGAGCGGAAGCAGAGGTCACAATTGAAAAGAATCGCAAAAAAATCATACCCGGAGATCTTATACCAAAAAAATGATAATATCGATGGAGGGGTGATTTCTTTCAATAGGTGGAAAACATAGGAAATATTGGATGTTATCAAGGAAAGGTAAAAATTTAGGAAAGTTAGCATTTTGAACTGATTTCTATGCAAATGGGGTTTTATTGTTTGGTAACATGATATCAGTACCTGCCCGTTTGTGACGTGTCTGATTAGGAAAGTTTGCAAATGTTAAGAAACTATTTATTGGGAGGAAAGTTTGTGACGTGTCTGTTATTTGTTTGCTAAAACAAATTTCACTAATGATAGAAATCGATTGATTTAGATAAGTTAGAAAAGTTCGATTGATTATTTGTTTCTTAAAAATTTGTTATTTGTTTACTAAGACAAATTGAACCAATAAAATGAATTGATTGATATGAATAATAAGTTCGATCTCTGATTTGTTATACGTTAGGAAAGTCCTGATTGTAATAAAGAGTGGAGAGAAAAATAATCCGATGGACCATGATGGGATGGGGTGGTGGGAGGAGAGATGAAAAAAAATCAACGAAAATAAACCGTGAAGACTATTCACCAACCGTGGTAGCATCAGAATCAGAATCCCCCGATTGCTCTGTAGGATCTTTTCGACCAGCAACAGAATCAGAATCCATCAATCTCTCTGTAGGATCCTTTCGACCATATATAGAGTGAATTTGGGGAAAGTGAGATCGATCGGCAATCAAGACTTTCAATTCCGAGCATGCTGACTTGCTGAGGTCAATGTTGGTCCAGGGCTCCAGGCGATCTGCGGCAAAGATCTCCATTGTCGTTGGAGGGAAGAAACAAGGACAAACAGGAAAGGCACCGAAATCCCCACACAACCACAAGCAGAGCAGCACACAAACTAACAAATTCCCTACTTGTTGGTCGAACGGAAAAAAAGCAGCATCCCTCCCTAGAAGTAGAATTAAGAGCACGCGCTAACCACCCCAGGTCTCTACCAAGCGAAGCAAGCAACCATGGCGCAGAATCACTAAACTCCGGCGAGAATTGCAGCACAGATGAGCAGGATCATTATTGCCTTAATTACCTGGCCAAATCCCGTGGTCAGAGGGAGAGTAGAGGAGGCCTCAAATCGAGGGGGTTTTGGGGTCGATCGGCTGCCGCTGCTCGTTCTGCCTCCGGCGGTGGGATGGAGGCTTCAGGCTTTAGGCTTTAGGCGAGAGAGCTGCTTAGGCGGGGGCGGCGTAACCCGGGGAAAGGGAAAGGTGGGCGTCCGTGTCAGCATCAGCATCGCGCACGTACGTGTCGGCTCCCTCTCGCGCCGCTCGCTGACCTGCTGCTGTGCTCGGTCGCCTCGCGCCGTTTGGCTCTCCTTGTGGCTGTCTTCCTCTTTCTCCTCTGTCGTTTCCATATTTCCCTCCTTCCGTTCGCGTGCGTCGGTCGATTCCTCCGTCCGTCCGTCGTCGGTTGATTTAGACGGTATAGGAATAGGATGGACGGCAGAGACGCTTTTCGGTCGCCGGTGACGCGCGCGCGCCTGGCGTTAG